TGATGAAAACATGTCTGGAAAATGTCATTAAAAATAATTGCTCTTCCATACACTTTAAATAGCCTTTTGGGAATGTCTAATTTTCCAGTGCATGTCTGTGGCATGGTGTAGAAGCTCAGAGTTGGCTGCTGGTACAAACTGGGAGATGAACTTGATTTTTTTTTCCCAAATACATTATATTTTCCAGAAAACACAGATGTTTGATGTATGGGAGCCAGTTGGTTACTGGATGATTTTAAATTCAAGTCTGTTTTTATGGTCATTTGGCACTTTACTGAAATGGATTTATTTGAAGGCTGCAAACCTACTCTGGAGACTAGTAACCAAGAAAAAATGAAAATGTGTATTTATTAAAAATGGATTTTAAATGGACAGAGGGCTGTTAAACAGAACCTGTATCAATTAATCAGCCTTTAGCACAGAGCTGCTTGTGTTTGATAATGGCTGAGCAAAAATGAAATGTGAAATACAAAGCCTGACACTGAAATACCAGGGATTTGGGATTTGAAAATTAATAAATATTTTTAAAGAATAAGTGTAGTTATGAATCAAGGGGATTATGAAGTTCACAAACACTGGCTGGACTTTTTAGAAAACTGCAGTGTATTTAATCATAGGGTGTTTACCAGCAGAATAAGAGCAACGCATAAGAATTTCTTTTGTCTAGATAGAAATTTACTGTGAGTCCATATTTGAAAAGATTCCTATATATGCACTTAAACACCAGCATGAATAAATGTATATTCAATTTTTACACCAGGTGTTTTATTAACTGTAACAGTGTAAAACACTGCCCTTTCATTTTCAACCAATATCAAATATTTATCTGTTGTAATTTACACTGATTAAAAATCTGTTTTATTCATCTTCCCTAAACACTTCTTTGCACAGAAAAAATAAATTAATATCCACAGAGGTAAAATACATGTTACCATATATTTAAAATATACCCTTTAAAAATCACAAATCCATAAATAAATGTGAAAGACACAAGATGTTATTGAAAAGTTTTGTACATTTATCGATCCTATCACATATCAACATTTTGGAAAGATATAAGTTATATTTAGAAATTTCAGACAATAAAGCCAAGAAAATTCTAATAAATCCTAGATCCATTTCATATCTATTCTAAAAAGTTTAAAACAAAAGTTATGCATTTTTCTGTCAATATAAAATTGTTTTCATGTTGACTTATTTTTTTTATTTTAATTGCTTCTCTTTAAAGAACACTGAAAAAAAATTAAAGTATATAACTTAAATTTTGCATTTTGAAATAACAGTGTCCAGTCTTATTAATTTTTAATTTTAAAATTAACAAATGCTTAAAACATAAGGTAGACTGAGTTCAAATATAGATATGTATGTATGTACACATATATATTGGCCAGTGAGAGGAATTCTGTACATACATAAATACTTGCATGCACACATATATACACACACACATTTGGCTGGTGAGTCTAATTATCAGACACATGCAAATTTCATAACAGTTCTTATTCGGAGTTCATAATCCTTTACTTAGCTCTCCAAACCTGCTAGGTTTTCATTAGTTGTTAAAAGAATGGTCAGGAACGACCACCTTCATATGTTAAATGAGGGTTAAACCACCCTCATATCTTAAAGTCACAAACTTTCTGAAGCAGTCATGATGAACAGCCAGCTGAGCAGATGAATGTATATTTACCCAAGCTGTGAAAAGTTATTTGGAAATTCACAAGGAAAGCTGTAATTTCTGACTTAATGCATTGTCATAGGTTTCAAATAAAGACCATGACTTCTGCTATATTGATAGCACAGGAATATGATTGCATTTGAAAGACAGAACAGATAATATATAAGGTTAGTTATTTAGCAAGTATTTGCATGATTACCAGTAGTGTCTTATTTTAAAAAAGCCAGTACTAGAATTAAAGCTTGCACTGATTTGCATCCAGTAAACACTCTGCACCTGATTAAAACAACTTTTCAAGAACTTTCAACTTACCTTCACATAAGGCTATGCATTTTAAGTTACGACTTTGCAAAAATTGTGACTGTTGTCCTTTCTTCTGTGACTGAGATTAAAAAAAAGAGAAAAATTAATTAGTGCAGTAAGACAATCAGAGTAAAGAAATAACAAAAAGGAGAACAGCTATTTTCAATGTTTTATTAACAAATAAATAAGGAAGTAATCTTCCTAAAAATTTGTGATCAGTTGTTTGAAATACCATGGGAGAGATTTTAATCCCTTTATCCAGAAAGAAAAGTTTCAATGTATTAGAGACTGAATAATACTTTATAGAAAGATCACAATATTATTAGTCAATTAATAGAAAGCAGAAAAACAAGCAAACAAACAATAGATAAATCTGATCACTGATTCTTTGACCACTGTCTTGATATTTTACTGGCCTTATGTCTACATGCTTCTGCTCTTATATACAGATCTTTCTGCAAAGCCAGATTATTCTGTCCTTATTTTTTACATATGGATACAGATGTAAGATTTTGTTCTCAGAATTTAGCCCTGCAAATAACTGCTATGAACTTGCTTAGATAAAGTATTTTACTATTTTAATGTTTAAAACTATGAAGAAAAGCTGATGTTCTATGAGCGAACTGCTACTTATTTTACAATGATAACCATGCTCAATTTCATCCTTCATCATTTTTCAATAAAAAAAATAGAATTCAGAAAGCAAGGACTGCTGGGGGTCTGTACTAGAGATGGAAATTTCTATGATCTGTAGAGTCATAACAATCTCCTATGTGAAGCAGAGGCCAGACCTTGAGAAAGAAGATGTTTGCCTGCCTAGGCTGAGCGATAAGGCAGCTGCTCAGCCCGGTCCACAGGCAGCCCCCTCCCCCAGAAACCTGTTGAAGCCGGCCACTTGGCTGG